AGAAGTATGAGAGCAAAACGCTTCCGTCAATCCGTGCGTGTCTGTCCCTTGCGGAGCTGATGGAGAAGCATAAACCAGGCTTAACAGTGATTGGATCACTGCAGCACCTTTACATTTAGCTGGTTCATCCAGCCTCAACATGTGACTGTTTACACTTATATTATGCTTACTTTATATCTCAGTTTCTAGTTTGGATTTGTCTTATTACCATGTTTACATTTATACTTTTACATTATTTTGCAGTGCACCTTATACTGGCTATGTGTGTGTGTGCGTGTGCGTGTGTGTGTGTGTGTGCGTGCGTGCATGCTTGTTTGTGTGCATGTGAGAGAGAGAGCATGACATCCATTTTAACCGTGTTATTTTATTTTACTTACATTTTACTACGTGAGCTGTCTTCAGTGAGCACAAAGTCGATTTTGTTGTACAGTGACAACAAATTATCTTGAATCTTGAATTTGCAACATGTGGTTTTCTTGGTTTGATCGTTCGCTGTCCTTTAGTCAGAAATCCACATAAGTCATTGGTTATGAAGGTCCAGGTCTACCACAACACCTCTTTAACAGTTTCCTGCAGCTAACGAGGAGCTCTGGACTAATGACACATGTTTTCCTGCTACACACACACACACACACACACAACCCAGCCATTAAACCAGGGTGCAGCAATATCTCAGATTACAGGAGCTCTCTCTCTCTCTCTCTCTCTCTCTCTCTCTCTCTCTCTCTCTCTCTCTCTCTCTCTCTCTCTCTCTCTCTCTCTCTCTCTCTGTCTCTGTCTCTGTCTCTCTCTCTCTCTCTCTCTGTCTCTCTGTCTCTCTCTGTCTCTCTCTCTCTCTCTCTCTCTGTCTCTCTGTGTGTGTGTACTCACCTATATATCAAAATGAGGACCAATGAAAAGCTTTTTACCTGCAAACTGAGGACATTTGTACCAAAGTGAGGAAATTTTGCTGTTCCTCATTTTGCTACAAGGCTCTACTCATTAGTTTCAGAGGGATGGTGTGGATTAAGTTTTAGTTGGGCTAGGATTAGGAATAGACAGGTTAGAGATAGGCACAATCCAGTCACCAAAATGAATGGAAGTCAATGACGGTCCTCACAACAAATGCTAGGGGTGTGTGTGTGTGTGTGTGTGTGTGTGTGTGTGTGTGTGTGTGTGTGTGTGTGTGTGTGTGTGTGTGTGTGTGTGTGTGTGTGTGTGTGTGTGTGACTACTCTCAGCCTTTCTGACATCTATCTTCCAACCAGCAAAGGATTTTTCACATTTCACTTTTATCACATTTCCACACTTCTTCATCTCAAACCCACACACACACACATCCATCAAGCATTATAGGGCCTTCCAGAGGCAGCTGGCAGCTTGCTGCCTCTCTCACAGCAGAGCATCATCACACAGGCTGACAGACAGACCGACTCCAGCAGGAAAAGCCTTGTAGGTCAGAGCATTAAGCCCTGCTACCATTAGCAGCTTTGTTACTGACGTGTTGACATGGTAACGAGCTGAACTGGAGCTTTACTCTGTGCTCTTTATATGGTGACAGACCTGGTTTGGTTCCCGCGAGGACAGAAGACTCTGAACCTCCATGGGATGACTGGAGACCAGTGTCTAGATGGGTGGAAACTTTAGCACCACATCCTGGCAGAGTGTCTTTATTATGTCTCCAGTGATATTTCACCTGTGCCTTTGTCTCCAGTTAGTCTCAGCTGTGTTTCACTGGTTTTCAGTTCCTCCTAAAGTCCTTTCTTGTTAATGCACCTACTGACTCAGAAACTAAACCCACATGGGTTCCACACACCCGCAAACACCCTGACTGGAGAAAATAGTTTTGCATCTTGTAACAAAGAAGTGAGACGTGCAAGATTGAACCGAATCCATTACAAACATTTTGGAAACTTTCTGGTAAACACTTTACACAATTTGTCTCCAATAGTCCAGCAATGGGCCCACAGTTTGTCTACAGTTGTGGCCTGAAGTGTTTCCTCCAAGTTCTATTCCTGACAGATGTCCTCTCCATCGTTTTACAGGATGTTTCCTCCAGAGAACAGCTCTGTGTCTTTGAGCAACCAATACAGATGACTGATGATGATTATTCTCACTAAGTTTACAAGTACACCATTAGGTTTTGCTTTTTTTTAATGAACAAAATCATGTTTTTGGCTTTACCATTTTGTCTCTTTCCTTGAAAAATTTAAATACCCCTGATTAAAAACATTTCTGTAAAGTGAAGACCAGTTTAGCTGGTTCAGACCAGTTTTCTGCACCAGTTTAACTCTGTTTTGGTTTTCCTCCAATTTGTCAAAGAAAAAAAAACTCAAATGGCAATGAACGACCTAAAAATGGGCAAACCGAAACGAGTTCACATTTACTGAAAGTTGCTTTTGAAAACAAAAATCCCAAACTTCCAGTTCAGTGGTTTCTCCCATCCCATCCTGTTGCCTCTCTCTTCATGACTGAAGACTTCATGACAGACATGACGGATTGCAGGTTTACTAGTAGTTCCTAGAATATCTAAAAATAGGATGGGAGGCAGATCTTTTAGCTATCAGGCTCCTTTCTTGTGGAACCAGCTCCCAGCTTTAGTCCTTGAGGTAGACACATTTTCTTATTTTAGACTAGGCTTAAAACATTTTTTGATGGGGCCTATGGTTAAATTCTAATGTTAGCCCAGGTTTGGACAAGTGGTAGAAGGAGGTAGAGTGTACAATGGGGAATACAGTCTGTAACTACAGCTCTCCCTTGCCCTGCCTCCAACATGCATCCATCTAAAAGGCTAGGTTATCCAGGTATCTCTGTAGTTATGCTGCTATAAAGGGGAGTTTCCTCTCCACTGTCGCCACATGCTTGCTTAGAATGAGGTAGGGATTGTATCGACTAGTCGACTTCACTGCTCTGTAGTGACTTTTTAGGCCTTTCATAGACTAGTCGCTGTCACGTGATAACGACCGACAAGATGCAGTCCTCGGAAAAGACAGCAGGCGACGAGCCCCTGCGCGTCGGGAGGCAACGCGCTGTGCCAGAGCGTCGGTATCTGATGCCCACCGTAAAACTGACATTTGACCGAATTGTGACCTTTACCCTCTTGCAATTTAACCTTCCCCTCACCCCCATCCTAACTTTAACCAGTTTGCGCATGCAAAGCTCTGATCGTTGCCGCGTGTTACGTCCCCGACATGAGATAGTAAAAATGTGAAGGATGGGGGTAACATAAGAACTGGCGACGGAGTTTAAAATGGGTTTATTCGTACAAAAGGTATTAAAACACAAGCAAACAGATGGCGAGCATTATTAAGATAATGCTAAACAAAAATACTCTCAAAAAGGTTAACATTAAAAGAGCAGTTACCAACATTAAAAACACCTGGTTAAAACTTATTAAAAGTTTCACCAAAACCGAAGGTGTTTCTAAATCCACAAAGTTGATAAAAGTTCTAAAACAATTCATTGACGTAAAACACCTGGTTAAAACTTATGTTAAAAGTTTTACCGGAACAGAAGGTGTTTTAAAAACGAAGTCAATAAAATTGTATCACAGAGTTAACCTTTAAAACGATCCCTCTGGATCACTCAGAGTTAAAACTATAAAAGTTAAAACTCTTCTACTCGAAGGAGTTGAAAACAAAATGAGGCCTGGAGGCCAGCAGAACCCCTGCACTGCTGCCTCCCAGACTACTGAAGGCACAGCCTTTTTATCCTGAGTGTGGCTCATCAGGAGGATTCAGCTCAGCTGTGCTCCTCAGCAGCCTGGAAGAGAGGAGGAGGAGGGGCGGTGTCTAGTCAATCACCAGAGCTGGACGATCCTGGCTGCTTTTCCCCTCTTCAGGCTGGCAGTCGTGACAACGTGCTCCAGACATCTGCGTCCTGAGCATGGCCACAGTAACATTATCAAATTAGGTGTCGCCACCTCAAAAACTAATTTAACATGCGATCGTTTATGTCGGCTCATTTCCTTTTATGTTTTCCGTCTTTTATTTGTGCCCGATGCGTTTCGCTGCTGTGGAGTGGGGCGCATCACCTGTTTTGTCCTCCGGTGATGCACCTCACCTGTGCGGCCGGCGCGCACTCCGCTGTTTTGCAGTTGGTGGATCTTTTAGAACTGCAGTTCAAAGGTAACTCATAAGGTGAAAATATATGAACCCATGTAGCAGTTTTTCTTTAGGATTGAGAGGAGATGCAGGAAGATAATAAACAGACAGGACAGAAAAATTGTCAAATAAAAACAAGTTAGTTTTTGTACCTGCTGTTGCAACAAACAGACACCACTGAAGGTAATCAGAAGTGAGGAACAGAAAATGAAATAATTATTTTAATGTTTAGAGCAGCAGGAACTCTTGAGAGGCTGCAGGAGCACCAGTGAGTTTGCGGCCGCTGCGCAGGCGGAGGGCGGAGAGGGCTGAAGCAGGGGAACAGTAAAGGTGCAGAAACTACCGTTGTTAATTTTGACGTCACAGGGTTATTGATGTAACCGTGTAGGTGTTTGCTTAAACGGGGGTCATCAATTTTATTTTCCATTTAAGAGTGGTGAAGAATGACCTCTTTGATCACCCTCCTGTTATCTGTAACTTCCTGAGACTAGATGAAGGTCCAACAATCTGTTGATTAGGTTACCCCGGTCAGCTGGTTCTGAAGAATTGTGTGTGTGGGTTTATCTGTAACTTCTGGGTCCGCCTTCCTAAATAAAAGGAGCTCCAAGGCTTTGCCTGAGTGTGAGAGCAAACTGACCTCCGTCTCTGGTGTGTATTTGATTTCTCTCACCCTTTGCAAATTATTTGTTGTTGTTTGTTGTTGGCAGGATTACAATTTACCAAAATATCAATCTAATCCCTCTGTGTGTGCTCTGAACTTTCTTTGAGGTAATATGGGAGTAATATAAAAATTACCCAACAGAAGGGCCCGCATGCAGTTACTGGACCTTGTTTGATTCTGATGAAGAGACACTTCAGTTAGGGAGAATGTCCCTGTCACCGCATCAGGACTTACTCAGCTGTTTCCTCCTTCCCTCAGGGACCTCATCAAGAAACTCCTAGTCATCGATCGAGCCAGACGACTTGGCAACATGAAGGTAAGCGAGTTAGACTTCCTGTTTGTCCAGTGGTCCTCCATGGTTCAGGCATTCAGAGGGACTTTAGATGTCTGAGATCTGAGAAGTAGGACGGTCCAAGACCCTGCTCTAAAATTCACCAGCTTGGAGTCAGATGGACCAGTAGTTTCCATGATGACTAAAGGTCAAAGTTCAGAGCAGACCAGTATAGGTTGGTCTCTTGGACTTCATTAACAGTTGTGAGGGACTGATGACTCACCACCATGTTCCATCAGCTAAAGGGTCTGAAGGGGACCAGCTAACCAGTGTTCTGACTTCCTGTTGGGGACAGGTCATTTCCCTGGTGGACTTGCTTGATGAGGTTCTGCTCTTTTCTGTTATTCTGACTCCGATGTGTCGGATATGTTTCAGAATGGAGCGGACGATGTGAGGAAGCACCGCTGGTTCAAGACTGTAGACTGGGAAGCCGTCCCTCTGAGGAAACTGAAGGTGAGTCTCATCTCCCGTTCCTCAGAGGACAGTGGTCCACGTTGTCTCAATCTTTGCTTCCTCTTATTTTTGGAACCAGACCTGACTGACCTCCACCTGAACTTGACCTGTAGAGGATCTGGTTTAAGTCCCGTTCTGTTTATGTTCCAGCCTCCAATCGTTCCCAAACTCTCTCACGAGGGCGACACCTCTAACTTCGACATTTACCCAGAGAGCGACTGGAAGAAAGACCCACCTGTGCCTCCAAAGGACCTGGAGACCTTCAGCAGCTTCTGAGCCTTCAGTCCACTCCAGTGGAGCCCCGAAACCCTTTTGCAGATGCTTTTATTTATCTGACTGACTGTTGTTTTTATCTCTTATGCAAAAGCTTCTGGTTCCGTTGGACCCAAACGACTGTTACTTTCTACGAGGATCAGGTTGTTTTTTTATCAGCACCTTTTCTATTTTCTCTTGTTTTGTAAACGACTCCAGACTGCTGCGGGAATCAGCTGATTGTATTTACGGTTTAAGCAGCAGCACAGGAAGGTGCCTTACATCAGGTGTCTCCGTCACGAAGAGCCCACTAGAGCGGTTCTGGTGGAACCCTCTGAGGTTCTGTAGACTGTTACTTCCTGTCACGTCTCTGCAGCAGCTTCCTTCAGTGTTACTGTTGAGTCACAGCGTGGTGTCGTACTGTATGAACTCATAGGGAGGCAAATCATGATAGGTCAAAGGTCATGCATGTTCCTCTTCAATGTGGTCAGTATTTATCATCTCAGCAGCTTCTGTTTGTTCAAATATAAAGACTTGAATAGAAACCTTCAGTGATTCTTGCCTAACGACCTCTGAAGACCTCAGACCTGCTGCTCTAGGAAGGTCCTCCACTAGGACCTCCAGTCTCAGTTCTTCTGTGGGTTAGTGGATCACTTCTCCTGCGTGGACTCTGTGTCTCCAGTCATAGAACTAATGGACATTTTGACCAGTTTCCAAGTAGAAACCATCACCCTTAGATCAGAGCTTCAGCCGTTTCACTGAAACGTGTCCCAGAAGAAGCCCCTATCTTCTGTCGTTTTGTCTGTGTTGCCATGTTTTCCTGACGTGTCAACGTCTGTGAGCTGTTTTATTATGCATGAGCCCTCGGTGTCTCGACTCGTCACAACAACATGTTTACTTACCGAGTCCCGATGTGACATCATCACCAATCAGCAGTAAACATTTCAAACACTAACGTCTCCGAGTTTCTCTGAACAGAGCTCATGTTTCGTCAGAGCTCAGCAACAAGCTGAGGGGGTCCAGGAAGCTGGGAAGGAGACTTCAGTGTCATTTGAATGAGTACAATTATAGCAGGTATACTATGTTACATGTACTCGGACTAAACTAGAAAGCGTACTGGTTAAATAGTTGTCTGGACTAAATTGGAGCGTTTGTTAAAACAAATTAACTTTCAGTTATACTTTCATGTATATAAACTAGTGTATTCAGTACTGAGGGAGTATGTTGTGGTTAGAGCAGTATGTGGAGGACAGTTTTCATATAAATCGTTATAAACACAACTGTATTTTTACAATGGATACAGAAAGTCTTCAGACCCCCGTTACTTTATCTTGTAGCCGTTCTTATTAAAAGGGACAGTAATTGTCATCCCCAACATTACAGTACATTGAACATACAAGTCATTTGCTAATAACAGAAGGGGAACATATATTTATGGATTCAGTATTTAGTCTTAAACCAAAGTCCATCTCCATGTACACCAGCAAGTGTTGTGTCATCCAGTTGTGTTTTCTCCTCTTCTCTGAGCCACCAAGTCTCTCCAGGTCAAACTTGGAACTGGACGCTATTTCTCTATCGTGGATGAGGACCGCAAGATCCCCGATGTGCAGTGCTGCGCGATATTAAGCTGAATACAAGTACTTTGTAATAGAAAAACATAATTAAGTGCAAGCATGAACTTTGATATTTTATGTGCGAGTCTTGGTATTTATATGTACTTAGTTGTGACTTTTCTTTACACTTTTCAATAAATGTGGAGTTCACATATACAGTATATTGTGTAACAACAAACTTCAGTTTTGGCATAAGTTAGTATACTCGTAGTACTTTTTACTTGGGGGAATTCCTGCCTGGAGGATCTGTAGCTGACCAGGTGAAGCCTCCACCCAGCCAAACAACAGGGCACTCTTCTTCACCTGCCTGATTACACAGGTCTAATGACAGGTTACAGGAGGGTCCAGGGTAGGCTGGGTCTGCACCACTCCCCGCTGGGGACATAATGACATGACTGTCGACTCATGCTGAAGATGAAACTCTTTGTAGAAGAAGAATATCATTTCTATAGCGCCTCTCAAGATGAAAATCACGAGGCGCTTCACAAAAACAAAAAATGTAAAAATATAAAAAAGAATTTAGAAAATGGTTAAAAATATTTAAAACGAGCAAAAAAAGACAATTGTGTTAAAAATGTAAAGCGAGAGAGTGTGAATAGGGAAGAGGGAAATCAGTGGATCCGGAGGAAGGTGGAATAGGTGGGGAGAGCAGAATAAAGAGAGTGGTGAAGAAGTTCACACAAAAAAAGTATGTAAGTCTTGAACAGTCTGGATCTGAGTCCGTTTCTTAGTGTTTGTGACACTCTGGAGCATCTAACTTTGTTGACGGTTCCATCAGCTCCACACAGCCGCTGGATGTGATTTCTGCTTCATCCTCACATCTTCTGGGGACATCAACAGAATGAAATCATCCCATTCCCGCTCACATTCCTCCTTTTTCATTGAATCTTTGCCCGACACTTTATTTCCCAGCTTCGTCAGCCTTGAACCATTTTATTTGATGGGTTTTAGTTTTAGCGTCTCCTCCTGCCTTTGGAGGCGGTTTTTCTCTTCTGCATATCGTCCTGTAGCCCCCTTATGCTGTGGCACAGAGCTCAGCCGAGGCTCAGGCCTTTGGTAGTGGCTCTGCTGTGGAGCCTGGTGAGGGATTTGGTACTTTTGGAGAAAACATCTTGGCACTGGTGGAAGGAAACATTAACCACCAGTTTTAGAGCAGGAAGGCAACAAGATCTATCATCTTGCTGCTGGTCAGGAACACATCCAGGTAGTGCTTGGTTCAGCTTCTCTGTCCTCACAAACCTCCATGCTGAGGGTGCACAGGGGCCCAGACTCAAAGGGAATCACAGAGAACTCCACCAAGGAGGGGCTGGCTCTACAGAAATGATGTGGGATTAAACTTATGGCCCTGCCAAGTCTTCATCGCTCCTTCTTTATGAATCACGAGGCAGTCGACTCATCACCAACATGTTGTGGTGGAGACTTGGCTTCCTCACACTGAGAAGGCTTCTGCAGCAGTTGGTCATCACCGACTTATAACATCTTTCTGTCTGCACAGAAGTGTGTGAAGGAGTGTGTTCTCCAATATTTCCACATTCTCACATCAGAAGGTTGAAGAAAGGACCCAGTGTGTGTTCAGCAAAAGTACGAATACCTCTCTGGGCTGAAACAAGAGCCAGCCTACTGGTCTAACAGGTTGATGCTGGGGGGCACCCCCCACCCCTGTCCTACCCACTAATAGGGGATATCTGTCACTTATCTAGCAGAGTTATGGTAATAACTAACTCTTAGCCTATAGAACAGGGTTATCAGAACCACTGTACATTAACCCTCAGAGAAACAGATCTGTTCAACTGTTGTGGGCCATTCCCATCTGTACCGGGTCGGCCCGGGCCGGGTAGCCCCAGTCGGCCCCAGCCTGGCCCGGCTGATTGCACACATCCTTGTCTTAAGCCCATGTGGGCTGATTCTACCCACCAATCAGAGGCTTGCTCTAATGGAAGGTGTGAATTTGCTATCAGCAGTGGGTGTGTCGGTCCTGGTCGGCCTGAAGCAGACCCCCTCGAGAAGAAGGCTGAGAATGAGCCTTGGTTGGCCCGGAAAAATACCAGGCCACCCAGATATGTAAACAACCTACGCTGCCCGGGCCGACCCGGTACAGATGGGAATGGCCCATAGGTGTTCGTTTTTGTTGCCAGACAGACAGATGGATGGGATTTATTAATCCCCAAATGAGAAATGTCGAGTAGCACCCACATTGAATCACAACCATAGAAACAGAGATAACAGAGAAAAAAAGAAGATACTAAAACCAGACAGGACTCCAAAAGCCCGTTTAAAACACTAAAATAGCTCTAAAACCTGCAGCCTAACATGCCAAGCACATCGGATAGTGTTCGAGTCTAAAAGCTGTGAGGAGAAAGGCTCTTCTTACCTTCTCTATTCTGAAGTACAATCATCTGCCCTTCTGACCTGTCAGGAGGCTGTGAAGTGGATTCCTGACATGTTCCATTCTCAGCTTTTTAGTGTGGCTCTTTCAACAACTGTTGGCAGAGGCTCCAGCCTGCTCCCAATATCCCAGCTACCTCCTTCACTACTGAATGTTGTCCCTAACCTGAGCCGCAGCATAGAGGAGGCACTGACCACCACAGTATGGTTAACACGAGCAGCATATCCTGACAGGCATTAAAAGGCCTTAGCCTCTGGGAATGGCTGACTAATGGTTGCCTTTTGCCAAAAATGACCCAACTTGGTTGTTTTGTTGTTGTTCATTCTGTCCAAAGTGTGTTTATTGACTTGACATCATTGTCTGAGTGTTCTTTATTAACATCTCTACTCCATAACCAGGACCATCAGCTTAACTTACCACACCCTGCCACTCGGTGGTCCTCTGAAGCTCCTAAAGACTCCTACAAGGTTTCATCTTATGACAGCAGATTTGGGACCCTGAAATGTTCAAACTTTGTTGTTAGACCAAAAAAAACAAACCTGCAGCTTAGGACTGCCTCTGTTGTTGCTTGGCTTCCGGGGCTGGAGGCTAGGAGGGAGATCTGGCCGTCTGGTTGGGGTCTGGGGTGGTGCGTTGCTGTGCTCAGCGTTGGGCGGGGGAGCCTGCTCATCAGCACCCCAGCAGAAAGGGTCAAACTCTGGTTACCGGTGATGGTTGTACCCAATGTGCAGCAGTACCGGGACCGGAGTGAATAGGGTGTGTATGGGGAGCATGAGTGGGTGTCTGGCGTGCATTTTTGTAAGTCTTTGGTTGTATGTGTATGTGTGAGCATGAGGGAGGGAGTGTGTGACTGTGTTTGTGTATGACTGTATATGTCAGGTGGGGCCTTTGACTCCTCCCTTCTCCTGGGACTTCTCTTGATGATATAGATCTTCGTCCCCCCTCCCCCTGCCACACCTGGTGTGAGGGGTTGTGCCTTGGTCTGCCTGAGTGTTCGTGGCAACCGGGTCTGGGGGTTTAAGATTTTGGCAGCCTGATCAATCCCGGTGGCTGCCTGGTGGGGTCTGGGTCCCTGGGCTCAGCTGGGTCCCCGGCGGGGGTGGTCGCCCCTGGGTCCCGGGTCGCTGGGTCCCGGGCTCGGCCGGCTAGGGGGTGGGAGGCTGCGGGCGGGCCTGTGGGCTTGCCGCTGATATCTCCCGGGACTCTGCCGGCTGCTGGTTGTGGCCCCCCGGGGCGATCCTCTGTGCCTCTCGAGGGGGGCGGGGGCCTTTCTGGTTGCAGTCTCCTTGGGGTTCCTGTGTTCTGGGGCAGCGCCTGGATCTCTGGGACTTGGAGCTCCCCCGTCTCCTACGCATCTTTGGGGGGCGGATCTGTGGTCCCTCACACTCTCTGTTGGGCGCTCCTATAGAGAAACCTTACATAAACAAGCGCGTGTACACACACAGGTGCTCACATGGTGCTCTCAAAAGTATGGGCTTGGGCACGTTCAACACAGGTCTTAAGACTATGGTGGGCACTTAATGCACTGTGATTTATTATCGTGATTCTTCACTTAAGCAATGTTTATTATATATTTCCTCATCAAGTTGACGCAGTGATAGCTTGATCTTGTTGTATTGTTGTTGTGTCCCTTTTTTTTGTCCTTTTGCTTTTTTTTGTTTTTTTTTCTGCAGGTCTAGAAGCAGACTCTTGTTCATTGTTTATTTTTGTGGGACCCCCCCCCCCCCCCCTCTCTCTCTCTCTCTCTCCCCCACCTTTTCTTTCCCTTTCTCTTTCACCTCTGTCTCCGTGTCTGGTCGGAATTACAAAGCATTCAACAACAATAACAATAAAGTTTTAAGTATCAGGTGTGACATTAAAGGCAGACGCTTTGATGCTCCACCTGAGAGTAAATCTGTAAGGCTTGTCACCAGCATTCAGACATCAATTCTGCTTGCTTCACAGCCAGACAGGACA